CCATATTTTCCCCCTTGAATATCTCTTCAAATTGATCATTAGACTTAGGTTTTCACAGTAAATCATTTTGGGTTGCAGCTTGAGCAATTCTTTTTATGGACTCAGAATACTCAGGATATATTATTTCATCCCCTTCAGCAACCTGTAACTATGGAATAATCCTGTATTATTCACGTTTCCTTTCCTTTACATTTGAAGATCTTTCTCCTACTTACTTGCAAAATGTGTTGTCCCTGAAAGTATTAAATTTAATCACTCTGCATCTCTGAGTTAAGCACAGGACTTTTCTCTAGCAGCAATCTATGGATTCTCTCAATTGATGTTCTGTTGTCCATATTTTCTTCCCATGTGCCAATCGATCACTTTGTACACACCCAGAGATTCACATACACCTCTTTTGGGACTAGAGCTTTAAAGAGCAAAGTTTCCCTAGTGTACAGCTTTTAAAATCATTCACACAAATTTAGTTTATATATAAGGACAAAAACACAACTAATCAATACTAGCCAATAGTGACACACACACACACACACACGTGTGTGTGTGTGTGTGTGTGTGTGTGTGTTGTGTGTATCACATTTTCATGATGAAATCTTAGAAGTCATATCTTATGCTACTTTTTATCTTTCTCTTGACTTAGTCTATTACTTATTACTAGGAACTAAAAAAATTCAGGTTTTTTTGATGTGAAACTTTTCTTCTGGGACACATGTCACTAAGGTGTTCTTGAAAATTAATTGGAACGGGTTAAGATTTTGTATTTAAAAATCATTGAAATCCTTTGTTTAGAAAAAAATTTAAATAAGCTAAAAATTTTGTGTTTTGCTCACTCAGATGTACAAAACAGAGTACATGTTTAGTAGGTATGATCCGTCAATTCACTTTACGAAATCAATCAGTTAATCAACAAGCATTATCAAAGGCTTACTATGTTTAGGCAATGGGTTTACTATGACGAGGAATAAGTTTGCATAGTTTGAGACAGGATAGCTTTTGCTCAGCTCATTAAAAATAATTCAACTTGACATTTTCTTTTGCAAACAAGACAAAAGTTCAAAGTTGTTTATTTTCTTAGATGCATAAGGACAAAACAATAGAGGTCATCTGCTCAGAAATATAACAAGCCACCTGAATATCACTTAATATTAACACAATTATAAGAGCTGGTATTTTGGGGAAAATGTGTAATTATGCAAAAAAATTTACTTAGTTGTATATGCCCACTGAATGCAATGCTTGGGCTATATCCCAAGTAGCTCACTGAATGTGATAAGAAATTAAGAAGGCTTTGATAGTACTTCTCTAAAAGGGGTGTGTGTGTGTGTGTGTGTGTGTGTGGTGTGTGTGTGTGTGTGTGTGTGTGTGTCTGTGTGTGTCTGTGTGTGTCTGTGTGTACAGGGGACAGTAGTTTGGTTTCTTAGCTGGTTCTACCTCAAAGGCAAGGGGTGAGATAGTGTGGAGGTCACAAATTGCTGGAAGAACCTACCTAGGGGGAGGGAGGAAGCCCTAGGCTCACCTTCAACTTCAACTTCAACCTCAGCCTCAGCCCCAGCCCCAGCCCCAGCCCTAGCTAACTGGTCTCCTCAGTGTCAAAGGCTGTGGCCTAAGGCCCCTGAGCAACAGGAAGGAGAAGGCAAGTAAGGACCACTGGTATACTACACACACTGAACCCACTTTGCTACAGGCTGGGACATACTGAGGTCCCTGTTCCCAATGCAGAATGTTGCTGGCTTCTCTCCCTGGGATGAATGAGCCTAGCGCATGAGCAGACTCTGGAGGGAACAAAGGGCACTGCTCTTGTTAAATTGATTAACCTGAGTCAGGAGGTAATTCTAAGGAATAGCTGGTGCCCCTGCTGTGTGAGTACCACTCATATCTCAGAAAATCAAATTCCAGCAAACTGAACGAAAGATTCAGCAGCTAAATAGCCAGGAGAGCTAAGTTTTAGTCTATGCTTTGAAAACTTCCTTTGTAAAACAAGGTAACTGGACAAAAGAGTCTCTAAAATCCTTCCCAAAGCTAACACTGGGTTCTACTTAATGCTGCCTCACTTCAGCCACACTGTCCATATGGCCTTGGTCACATCACTTTTCTTCTGGAACCTCAATTTCCTCCTTGGTAAAATGAAGGACTTGGACTAATTATCAAGGATTCTTAATTTAGGGTCCATAAATTTTTTATTTCAAATATACTGATAACTGCATTTCAATATAATTGAGCTCCTTTGTAACATTTTATTTTATGCATTTAAAAACATTATTACGAGAAAAGGTCCACAGGCTTTTACAAAGATGGCAAAGGAAGTCAACCATGACACAAATAAAAGTTTAAAAACTAGGAAATTCCTAAGGTCCTCTTCAGCTCTAACATTCTTGCAGACAGTTTTGGAAAGAGAGGAAGCAATTTCCCCGAAAGCATCTATTTGCTACAGCAGTTACCACACTGCCCACACCTAAGTTAACTTCTTAGATATCAAATAGGAAGAAACTCTTAATAACAATCAATCAACAAGCATTTTTTAAGCCTCCGCTCTACTTGGGATATAGCCCAAGCATTGCAGTCAATAGGCATACTGCAAATACCAGGCATTTGGTATACAAATACAAAAGTGAAATGACCTTGGCACCGAGTTGTTAAATTAAAATAGGAAGCAACTACAGTTTCCCTGCTTTCTTATTCTCAGTATTGCACTCGTGGTTTCCCAGAGTCTGTATCTATCTCCATGGAGTGGGTCTACCACCCTCCCCATAATCAAATATACCCTTTTAGCTGCTTAGTCTGAGTGTAGTTTGTAGTGGTTGCCCCAGGAACAGAAATTCCTAGTTATGGCTCCGTTATGGCTCGCAAGAAAAGACCCATGTTAAAAAATGCTCACAGCAGGATTATTTGCAAAAATCAAAAAGCCAGAAAAGAAAAATATGTGCACAAAGTCTGAGGAATGGCTGAACAAATTATATGGTACAGTAGTAGAATGGAATGGGACACAAGGAATTAAGAATATGACTAACTGAAACAGGAAAACTCACATGAAATGAAGTAGAAGAAAGCAAGCAAAGGGAAAAAAAGCCATCTATATGACTACAACCAATGTAAATAAAAGAGACAACAAAACTAGTCCAAAAAAGGTCAAAGTCAGAATCCTATCACCAATGTTAAAAGAAGTATCTTTCCATTAATAAATAACAACACACACATAATACCCTGCAAATTAGTGAAAATTACAAAAGGCAATAGTTAACGTTGAAAGACATTGTGGGAAGATAGGCACATTGGTGCATTGTTGGTGGAGCTGGGAATTAGTACCATTTTGGAAAGCAATTTGAAATCATGCAAATAAAATGACTAAAATGTCCTTACTCTTTGACTCAGAGATTCTACTACTACTGCTGCTGCTACTACTCAGCGATATACTACTACTACTACTACTACTACTACTACTGCTGCTACTACTACTACTTACTACAACAACAACAACAACAACAACAAAGAGGCCATTAAAGGAAAAAAGTCCACATATATGTATATATGCCAAAATATTTATGGCAGCATTTTTTGTGATAACAAAGAAGTGGAAACCAAATAGATGCTCATCAGTTGGAAAATGACTAAACAAAATGTAGAACATGAATGTAATGGAATACTACCGTGCTATAAGAAATGATGAATGCAATGAATACATAGAAGCATGGAAGGTTTTCGTGAAATAATACAGAATGAAATAAGCAAAGCCAAGAAAATCATGTATAATGGCTATAACAATGTAAATGGAAAGAACAAAAGAAAATGTTGCCAAAATTATAAATAACAATCATGACTAAAAAGAAGATATAAGAAGACACTCATTCCTTTGCAGAGTTGGGAGGTCCACAGGTATACTGCAAACATTTTCAGACTTTTTCTGTGTATTAAATAGTTTTGTTGATTTTGTTTTCTCCTCTCTCTTTTTTCCTTTAAAAATAGTATTTGTCATATGAGACGGTTCTCTGGGAGGTGAAGAAGGAGGAGAGGGCAAATTGGGGGAAATTTTGGTGACATACAAAAAAGATATCAATAAAAGTTTTATTTTAAAAAATGACAATCTTATTGTCTATTTTAGAGGATGTGCTTTGTAAAACAGGTTTGCTAAAAAGTATCTGCCACAAAAAAAATGTATAAAAATACATTTTGCAAGATTATAGATTACTGTTTAAAAGAGCAGGTACCAGAAAAACACAAGAAGCCTCAGAAGGTGACTAAACATTTTTATATGTATATACACATGTGCGCGCATGCGCACACACACACACACACACACACACACTCTCTCTCTCTCTCTCTCTCACAATAACTATAGTTATATGTATACGTATATACAAATATATAGGGGAATACCAAACCATGTCAGAAACAGAGATGAAAATTATATTTTATGCTTTCTTTTATGTTTAGCAGAGGAACAGATGCAAAATTTATATCTGAAGTCTCATTAGGTGTCAACACTAGATTTTCTGGCCTTGTTAAAACTACTGTTCAAAAAATATAAAATACTACTAAATATCACAATATTCTTAGAGTAACTATTAAAATCCCTAGTGATTCCTCAAGGAAATTTCATAGCTTAACCTCTTTTAATTCAATAAATGATCTGAAACTCCAAAAGTCTCAATATGTTCCATAGGTTTTAAAGGAGAATAGCAACCTCTTCAAATTCTCCCCTAGTACAAAAAAAAATCATTAGAAAACAGATTAGAAAGGTCACTGTAGAAGCAGAAGATGGTGGAAATATGGCCATCTATTATAACTCTGCAAATATATAACATGTTTTTTTTAAAGTATTAGTTCTAGAAAAAGTCCTTATTCTTTACTAGACCTATATAGTGGATTCATGCATATTCAAGGATTCTTTTTATGCTAAGAAAAGCAAGAAAGAAACTTAGGAACTTTCACATCCCTTCTATTCTCAGAAAATTCATTTTCTATCTCTACCAATCAAGACAAGAAAGTTCATTAAAATCTCTTACCCATCCCAGAGTCTTTCTTGGTGCCATCTGATATGATGTCCACATGGTCACTGTCTACATCATAACTGAAGAAATCATTCAAGTAGGTTTTTGATCGCTGACCACCAAATACATACAAGCAACGATTTTTCTGAAAATTAAAAAAAAAAAACAACAGGGAAAAACAAGTGAAGAGAAAAGTAAGCAGTGACGTAGAATGATAGCTGAAGATCAGTTCACAAGGACTTACTCTTCAGTGACCAGACCTTTAAGAAGTTCTAATCAATGTCTGAGAAACACCTCTGTAGGGTGAGCAGTGAGTTGCAGGTGCATAGGCTCAAGTTGTATAGAGCCAATTCTTACATTTTTACACTTATAGAGCAGAACAGACATGAAGCCTGGCACAGTGGAAAGAGGCTATAACTTGGAATCAGGAAGAGCTTGCGTTCAACTTCCGAAATACTATCTGCATGACTGTGGATGAGCTAGTCACAATTCCTCAGCACCCTATAAAGTTAATATACAGCAGTAATTCCTCCACAATGATATAAACAAAAATTGTAAGAGGGAAAGGAACAATGGTGAAAATAACTAATTTCATTACCCCCAAGTCATGAGTTGAATTAGCATTAAGATGGAAAAGAGGAAATAGTTCCTGTATTCAGATGGGTAACAGTGAAGCTTAATCTAAGGAATTCCTAACTACTGAAGTGGAGAATGATATCTAACTTGCAGTTCCTCAACTAGCAAGTAAGGTCCCACATAAGCAAATAATGAATTAAATAAATGGGACCTTTGTTTTTTCCATTCTGACATCACCAGAATAAATGCCAGAAATAAAGGAAAATCACAGTTGCATCCATTATTTATGTGAACATTAGGAAGACAGGAATTTTAAATTTTGTTGTATAAAATGAAACAGATTCTACCCTTTCTTTACTAAAGTGAAACAACCATTACAGTTTTGTATTATAATCTCAATTGTCCTTACTGAGTGGAAAAGCATGCAGTGTCCTATTCGGGACTGGATGTCCTCAGGTCCAGCATTACAGGAATCCTCTCGAAGAAGTTTCCATGTTTGACATTGGCAGTTAAAAGCAAATAAACCACTGAATTGAGGTTCACTGGCTCTACTGTCATCTACACTGCCATTACAAGTCAAAATTCTTCCACCAAAAGTATAGATCATGTGTTTTTCAGAATCCATACACATCTGCATAAAGAAAATACATTTATTTTTTAGTATGTTTTTATCAACATGTTAAGGAGTTAAAGTGATTGTGCAAACTTTTTAGAATTTCAGAGAATCTGTGGTTTGATTTTAAAATTCAAGAAAACCACCACAGAGTGTCTTGAATAACAAAAATATCAAAAACACTTAAACAAAGACAATGGTTGTTTTTAAAATACTGCCCCAGATTTCATTTTTTCCAGTGGGAATAAAGTGTTGGATTAAAAAGCTAAAGATTTTCTCCAAGTTTTGTAGTACAACAGCTTTTATCAAAAGCAACAGAAGCTACTGGCATACTTGAAGCTGAACACTGCTCCCATAACCCCTTTTATCTTTTTGTACTGAGTTTTTTATTACTCTCCTGGGCTACCATCTATCTATGTTTTGTACTACCAATACTAACAGTTTCCATTTGTTAATCACTTAACTTACAAATTACTTTCTTTACACTGTGAGGTAGTTCAGATTACTATAAACATTTTACAAATCACAGGTTCTTCAATCTAGAGTTGAAAAGGACCTCAGAGGCATCTAATCTAATTTCCTCATCCTACAGATGGCTCTAAGAGCTGGTCCCTAAAAGGAAGTCTGAAAGTTATGACTTTTACAGTATGACTGATTTTGGGTCCTTTTAAATATGACATTCTCATTCTAGGTTACTGTGAACTAAGTTTTACAATTCATATTTTAAAAATAACCCTATATCTCTATTCTTCTCTCCCTACAACCCACAGAACTTACCTAAAGAGAGAGATTATCTAAGTATCATAAGGTTTTTATTTTCATTTTCATATGACTCCAAGTCAGAATAAAATTGTTTCTCAAAGTACTTACAAGGCAAAAAGTTCAGAATGCAAAGTAGATCTAAATATGAGTGGAATTTATATTTAAAGTTTAAATTTTGCTTATAAAAGCCCCACCCAAACTGTATAACTCTCCTCCCCTAAACACCATATTCAATATATATTTCAACTAGACCTTAGCACAGTACCTTGAGCATTTAGCACAATGCCTAGCACATAGTAGGTGCTTAATACTGATTGATTTAGAAGAAGCATAATTAAAGATAAAGACCACTGAATTTGATGTCAGAAGACATGCACTCAAAATCTCAACCCTGTTAATTACTTGAGTAACCTTGTTCAAATCACTTAATCTCTCTGGGCCTAAATGAGAGATGTGGAGATGATGATGATGATGATGATGATGACAATGATGACAAAATAACTAAAATTTATATAGTACCTACTGTGTACCAGGCACTAGTACTAAGCATTTTATAATTATCTCATTTGCTCTTCACAACCCTCTACTAGAGGTAGGTGCTATCATTATCACCATTTTATAGATGAGCAAACTGATGCAAACAGAGGTTAAATGACCTGCCTACATAACTAGTAAGAGGCTGAGGTTAGATTTGAACTTAGGTCCTCCTGACTCCTGGCCCAGTGGTCTATCATGGGACACTGATTTGATCTCTAAGATACTTTCCAACCTTAAATTAATTATCCCAAATAAACGAATAATTTTAAAATTTTCAGCATCTCCTATCCAGGTCATTCACTTCTACAACTCTTATCTCCTTTCTTTCTCCCCTCAGATAAGGGCAGAATTCGTGATGCTTTGCAGTAGGTAGGCATAACTCAAATTCTATTACCCAAAGCAGAGGTCTTCACTATGTGTCAAAATAGTTGAAAAGTTTAAGTCCCCACAATTTTATAAAGATTAAAATGACCCTTACACACAGCATAGCATTTAATTATATTTTCATTTGGTATTTTATTGTTCCCCATGCATATGTCAGTTCAATTTAACCAGCATTTTGTTAAACATCTATTATTTGTGTAGCATAGTGCCAAAAATGAGACTACTCTCAAGGAATTTCCTTTGAACTGTGGGGATATATTGCATCTATAGATCAATAAATAACAAGGTAATTCAAGGAAGGAGAGAACCTTAACAGTTCAGGGTATCAGGAAAGACTTCATGGAGGGGATGCCACCTAAGTTGTCTTGAGAAAAGATAAGGATTCAAGGAAGTAGAGATGAGGAAAAGAGTAAAAGTAATTAGAGAAAGGTCCCCCAGATGACACACAAAGATGGGCATACTCTTGATGCTGCAATGACCCACAAGTGTTCCAGTTCTATGTTTATGAATGCTGACATTCCTTTATCTAACTATTACCTATCACTCCATTTTTCCCTGTGCCTTATGATATCTATAATTCTGTTCTTCATCTTTACCATGATCTCCAACCCAAAAGCCCTCAGGTCTTCCACTCCTACACAAGTCACACTCTTCTCCCTTCCCTATTGCTACAGTGTGGTGAATCAGTTCAACTTTGTATTATCTTATTCGTCTGAATCTCTTGCCTCCTTATCCCATCATTGATCTTGCCCTAAAAAAGCCTCAGGTTTGTATTACTCCCCCTTACATGCTATAGAATGAAGCTGGAAAAAATCATGAAATCATGCTGAGTACACAACAAACATATTTTGTGTAATTTCAGGTGGGCCCCCACTACAGAAAGGCAATCTTTTCACACTTTTCTAATCAATTCATTCTTCCACTTACCACAGGAGCTATTACAAACCTCTTCATCTCTCATCAAACTTTCTATTTCATCCTTTACTCTCAGCTAAGCATCTTGCCTCATGCCTGACAGAAAAAAACTGATCTAGCACAATGTCTGCCATTTAATAAGTACCTAACAAATGCGTGTTGAGTGCTAAATGATTGATGTCTCAGAAACATATCAAACTAGTAAGTACCAAACATTACTTAATCATCTTTTCCAAATTTCCCTATTTCTCCTTGAAAACAATACCATTCTTCAAATCTCCCAGATTTATAACACTTCATTTCTCATTCTGTTACTTCATATATCCAATTAGTTTTCAGTCCTTTATCACCTCTTGCCTAGACTACTGCAACAGACTTGTAATTTGTTTCCCTGACTCACATCTCTCTTCCTAGTCCAGTTCACTCTCTATAGGGCTGCTAAAGTGACTTTCCTTAAGCACGAAGTTGATCATGTAGTTCTCCTACTAAGTAAATTCCAGTGGCTCCCCCTTTGATCATCAGATATAATAAATTTCTGTATTTGGCTTTGAAAGTTCTTCATAAACTTCTACTTCATTATACACTAATACACTACTCTCCTTTCCATACTAAACAGTACAGCCAGCTAGTTACCCCTCAAAGCATCTTGAGAATAAAGAATGTTTTGTTTCTACTTGCAGATATACTTGTAGTATCTCTACTGCCTAGGAAAATGTTTGTCATTAATAAATGTTTGTTGATTCCTATATGGAGTTCTGAAATTCTGCAGTTTCCCATTTAAAAATTTTTACTATTTTTTTCTTCTATTGCTGCATTCTGTGAAAAATTATTTTTATTTTCAGTTTCAAATTCTATCTCCCTTCAGCCCCTACCTGACTCACTGAGAAAACAAGATATGTATGTGTATATATATATATATGTATATATATATATATGTATGTATATATATATATATATATGTGTATATATATATATATATATATATATATATATATATATATATATATATATATTTGAAATCATACAGAACATTTCTGCATTAGACATATAACTACAAAAAAGGGGGGGGAGGGCTTCAATCTGCACTGAATCCATCAGTTCTCTCTCTGGAGGTAGATAGCATTTTACATCATGAGCCCTTTGGAGTTGTGATAGATCACTATACTGTTAAGAGTTATTGGGGGCAGCTAGGTGGCACAGTGGATACAGCACCAGCCCTGGATTTTGGAGGACCTGAGTTCAAATCCAGCCTCAGACACATGACACTTACTAGCTGCTGTGTGACCCTGGGCAAGTCACTTAACCCCATTGCCTAGCCAAAAAAAAAAGTTACTAAAACATTCACAACTGATTATCTTTATAATATTGCTATTATTATGTTATTATGTAAACTGTTCTCCTGGTTCTGCTCACTTCACTTTGGCTTCCTAAACTGTCCTGTGCAAAAAAATTTTTTTAAATCACTCAGTTGGGTTTTTTTTGGTTTTACATTCATTAGGTTTAATTAGATTTAACTTGCCTTTTAAATTAATTTAGAGGCATATGTTGGGACAGCCCAGCATAAATGCTTACTTCACCACAAGATCAAATACTTCAATTAGGTTTTCTACCATCTCTTGAAAATTATTATAAGCAAGGTGAATTTTAGTGTGTGTAAAGTGGATTTTTTGTTATTCTTTCTCAGAGTTTTCTTCCCAGAATCCATAGCCATAACAATCTCTATTTCCCAGGTATTAGATATGAGTTTTCACAATCATGGTTCAAAACAGTTTCTACTACATTTGCACAGTAGAGATAGAGATGAAGTGAGGCTATTGCTGGCAATATGCCTTCTTTGTTGCCCTATAAAGCAAGTGGGCACGAGTCATTGAGTAGGGACCCCCTTAGGGGTGAACGTGCAGGCTAGAATGCTGTGGGTGCCTTGATTGGCCCCCATCAAGGCTTGGGAGGGGGAATCTGTGTGTTTGCCTCAACTGGCCCCCACTGAGTCTTCAAAGGATTCAGGGGAGCGCACAAGTTGTGCTGGGTCTCAATTGACCCCATCAAGACAAGGGGTAGTTGCCCCCCGCTTCACGCCAGCCCCTGCAAGAGAAGGGTTGTTAGGGAAGGCTGCAGGAGTTGGTGCTCCCATTATCGGCAAACTCCCTTTGAGAAGACTAGATTAGAATAAAGTAAACTTATTTAACCCTTTATTATGACTCCATTCCTGTCTTCCCATCTGACCAGATCAAAAGCAAACCTGCTAGTGACAGAGGTGCTAGAAACTCTCCTGTGTCTCCTTCCTGAGAAATGGCATAGTCGGTGTGTTTACTTGTCTAACTATCAAAAATGTTCATTTTAATCTTTTTTCCAGAAAATTTATTTCCATCGAATGAGTTATTTAGATTCAATCCCTAAACAATATTAACTTGTTTACTAAATATCGAGAAAATCTACAGCTATCAATCACTTTGGGCTTACACTGACAACTTTCTTTCAAACTTGGTTTTAAATATTCTCTGAATATGGAGCTTTAAAGCTAATAAATGAGTTTTTTCCACTCTAAAAATTATTTGTTTTCATCTTCAAAAAATTTTGAGTTACAAATTCTCCCTCCCACCTCTCTCCCATTCACTGAGAAGGCAAACAATATATCAATTATACATGTGAAATTATGCAGAACATATTTCCATATTAGCCATCTCTCTCTCTCTCTCTCTCTCTCTCTCTCTCTCTGTCTCTCACACACACACACACACAAAGAAAAATTAATAAAGTGAAAAAAATCATACTTTAGATTGCACTCAAGAGTTCATCAGTTCTGTCTCTAGAGGTTAATAACATTTTGCATCATAAGTTTGAAACTATCTTGGATCACTGTATTAATCACAGTAGCTAAATCTTTCACAGCTGACCATTGTTAAAATATTGCTGTTACTGTGTACAATGATCACCTGGTTCTACTCACTTATTTTGCAAACATCAGTTCATATAAGTCTTCCCAGATTTTTTTGAAACCATTATCCTTATCATTTCTTATAATACAACAGCATTCCTTTACAATCACATAACCACAATTTGTTCAGCCATTCCCCAAATGATGGGAATCCCCTCAATTTCAAATTCTTTGCTACCACAAAAAGAAATGCTATAAACGTTTTTGTAAATATAGGTTAAATATAATGAGTTTTTAAACCATTTCAGCAATATTGCAACGTGGTTTTCCACACAGACCTCAAAAATTATGCAGTCATATAATTCAACTCAAAATTTTTAATGGTTCCCAAATACTTCACAAATAAAATTAGAAATTCTTATCCTGGCATACAAGATCCTCTCTGACCTACCACTTCCACCTTCCAACTTCTATCTCAAACTAAGCTTCTCCAAATACTGTGCACTAGCTAAAACAGATTACATGCTGTTACATGCCTTCCTGACTCCTTAGTGCATTTTGTTCCTTATACTTAAAAGAAAACATTATGTGTGTATACTCAGCAAAAATCTGCCTTCTCACTCTCCTACCACAACCTGCTCCACCAATAACAAAAGGGAAAAAAACCTATTATAAATATATATAGTATGTATTGTAAAACCCAAACTATTTCATTCTGTACATAATTTTTCACCCTCCTATCAGGAGGTGGGTAACATGTTTCATTATCAGTCCCCTGGAATCACAGTTGATCATTATATTTACAAGATCTTATAATATCTTCAAGGCTGCTCGTCTTTATCACATTGTTGTCATTGCATAAATTGTTTTCTTGTTTATGTTCACTATGCTGTTGCAATTCTCATACAAATCTTCCCACATTTCTCTGAAACCATTTACTTCATCATTTCTTACAGCCCAATCACATTCTATCACATTTATGTAACATAACTTGTTCAGCCATTCTCCAGTTTCTAGGCATCCCATCAGATTTTCATTCTTTGCTGCCTCAAAAAGAGCTATACGTATTTTAGCATCTGTTTTACGTAAGACTAGGCCTTTCTTTCACTTACTCTCCCTTTACCCACCTTTCCTATTTTCCTGTTGAGTGGAATATAATTTTGTACCCAAATCTGTGTTTTTTCCATCTTTGACCAGTTCAAATAAGACCATGATTAAAGTGGCAGCTGTGCAGCCTTACCTCTCACCAACTTGACTGTAGATATCTACTTGCAAAGCTTGATTATTCGAGATAATTTTCCCTCAACTTCCCCGCCCCGCCACCAATATATTCCTCTTTCCTTTTTTCTTTTAAGATCATCAAGACTTAACAGACCTCTTCCCAGGCTTTTCTAATTAGACTCTTTCTATGAGTACTGATGAAGAATGTAATTTGTTGTAATGTAAGCAATTTATCCCTGAGTGAAACAGGGGAATTCTAATCATTTCTGATGAAAAGGCTATAATGTTGCTAGGAGTTTTCATTTTGGGGTTTCTTTCAAGAGGTAACTGGTAGATTCTTCCTAATTCCACTCTGCCTTCTGGTTTTAAAAGACAGGAGCATTTTCCTTTTAAGATTTCTCGAAATATGATGTTTAGGCTCTCTTTTGGTCATAGCATTCAGACAATCCAATAATTCTTAATTTTTTTCTCTCCTCAATCTGTTTTCAAGGTTAGTGGCTTCTGTTAATGAGAGATATTTCCTTCTATTTTTTTCAGTCCTTTGTCTCATAGGGTCATTGTTTTGGTCCATTCTTATTCTCAGGGAGTTTAATTCCTTTTATAATTCTTTCTTCCATGGCTCTCATTTATTTTTCATTTTTTTTCATCAGATGCTTTCATTTACTAAAAAAAATTTTAAACTCTTTCTTAAAAAAACTTCTTACATCTCTTCCAGGAATTCTAGTTGAGTTTGTGCCTAAGCCGTGCTATTCTTTGCAGATTTACTTATAGATGTTCTGGAGTCATTCCTGTTCTTCTGTGTTTGTGTCTTAAGCTTCCCTGCCACTTTAATGCCTCTTCATGGTGGTATTATTTTCCTGTTTGTGCATTCTTTCAATGTCCTTTCTCACATTAATGTAAGTGTTGGGTTCTGCCACACTTCTGGAGGGAAAGACTGGGCTAGTTCTGTTGCTGCTTACTTGGGGTATTGAATGCTGTGTTATTCTAGGATCTCAGTGACAATATGGGATAGGGACCTACAAGCTTCCGGTGTTCCCAAAGGGATCTGAGCTAAGGCAAAAATCTGATTAATGTCCCCCTGCCCTGGTCTGAGTTCTTCAAGCTCCTGACCTAAGTTTGGGTCTGTTATCTGAGAATATTCAATACAGAAGTCATTAATAATTCAAACATTACACATAAAGTAAAACTGAAGAGTAAAAACTTCTGAAGGGAAACAATTATAACACATTTTCATCACTACCGCACCTGATGATCAAACACCAACTTAGGTCCTCCATCAGCAGCAGTGTCCTCACTTAGTAACATCCATGTATTTGTGTCGATGTCATAGCGGTAGAAGTCACTTTTCAGAGACTTGCTATTTCTCACAGAGGAATCCAAGTAACGTCCCAGTGTGTAGATCTGTCTTCGCTGAATGTCAATACACATTTTATGACAAGATCTGGCACTAGGTCCATTCTGTTTGGGGGGTAAGGGTAGGGAGAAAGCATGGAATGGTGATTAGAAACAAAAAGAAATAAATATAAGAACCTAAAATAATATTGTTATTTTTCTTCTGGTTTTTTAGAAATTTATTAAGAAAATCAGAAACATTTATTAAGCAACTGATGCTGCTCTGATATTAATATGCCAGTAGATATAACAAAAAAGGTGACATTACATTTATTATCTGGCTGAGAAGAAAAGGTTCCTCAGAATTTCTATGGCACACAGGATGTCCCAAAGCTCTTAGGCAGTTAAGACCTTTGGGACATTCTGTACTCACATGGCACTTTTCACATATTGCCCTGTACTAAAGTTATTTGTACGTATGTAGTTATTTCCCCAGGCAGCAAGGTGGTGAAGCAGATAGAGTGGCAGGCCTGGAATCAGGAAGACTCGTCTTCCAGAGTTCAAATCTGGCTTGAGACCCTTACTAGCTGTATGACTCAGCAAGTCACCTAACCCTGCTTGCCTCAGTTTCCTCATCTGTAAAATGAGCTGGAAAAGAAAAGGGCAAACCATTCCAGTATCTTTGCCAAGAAAACCCCAAATGGGGTCATAAAGAATTGAACATGACTGAAAAAATGACCAAGTCATTTTCATGTAAATGCCTCAAGCGCAAGGAAAATATGGCCTACTCTATTTAGCTTCAATAGTTCCCCATCTCCCAATTTGCAAAAAGATAATGCTCAATAAATATTTGTTGAATACATATATATGAACCAACTAGAGATGACACAAGAGTGTACCAAATAATACAACACAATTATAGAGAACATAAATGTTACAGGAACTCATATAAAGGAAAAGATCATTATAGCCAAGACAGTGAGGGAAACTTTCCTGGAAAGTGAAATGTGAAAGCAGTACAGAATCTGCTGATGGAAACAAAAAAGAAAGAATGTTCTAAATTGGAGACGTGAATAAAAGTAATAATATGTATGGTGTAAACAGGCCTGGGAAGAGAGAAGATGGGGTGAGGGGCCTATTCTTATTGGTGCAAAAAGTTTGTATCGGTGGAGGAGAGAGATTAAAGTTGAACACTAAAGTAGAAGGAGTTGAGGAAAGACTGAGCAAGTGGCTAAGGAATACAGACATGGTTTTAGAGGCAAAACAAAGACACTGTAGGTTCTTAAGGAAGAGGTGATATGGCCCACTCATTCTTTAGGATTAGATTATTTAGTTTCCAACGAATTTTTAAGCCATACTTCAAAGGCCCTTTATTAAATGTAATCTTTATTTCATGATGGTCCAAAAAGGGTGTCCAGGACACCTTTATAAAGTCTGACCATGAAAGAGGGCATTAAAAACCCTTATTATGCTTGTTAGTGAGGTTTTTATCCCATTCACAGCAGATTTTGTAAAGGTGCCTTGAAGAGCTGAGAAATTGAGATACCCTTTCTATACCCATTCAATCTTCTCCAGAGGTCTATCATATATAATTTTCTAAAATGCCTTCATCTCTTTTACTTTTTTGTTAATTTTATGGATAGATATTTTTAAGTCTGAGAGGAGTAAATTGAGGCTCATCATTAGTAGTTTTACTATTTCCCCCTGTAACTCATTAAACTTTTCCTTCAATAATCTGGATATTATACCACTTACTATATATATGCTTAGCATTTCTTTTTACCATAGGGATCAGTTTTTACTTATTTTAACATTATTTTCTTTTTAAATTTTTAGTTCCAGATTCTCTCCCTATCTCACCCCTCCCCCACCAAGAGAAAGGAAACAATATTTTGTACATGTGAAATCAAGCAAAACATATCATAAAAAAGGGCAAAAAAACCTAAAGAAGGTGAGAAAATTATACTTTAATTTGTGCTCAATGTTCATCAGTTCTTTTGCTGGGGGTGAATAGCATTTTTTCTTTGTGAGTCCTTTGGAATTGTCTTGGATGACTATATTGATCAGAGTAGCCAAGTCTTTCACAATTGATCATCATTACAACAGTGCTGTTACTGTGCATGATGATCTGGTTCTTGTCATTTCAGTTTTCACCAGTTCATATAGGTCTTGCCATATTTTTCTAAAACCATCTGTCATCATTTCACATAGAACACTAGTATTCCATCACAATAACATACCACAAATTGTTTAGCCATTCCCCAATTGGTGAGCATTCCCTCAATTTCTCATTCTTTGCTGCCACAAAAAGAGCTGCTATAAATATTTTTGTACATATAAGTTCTTCTCCTTTTATCTCTATGGGGTACAGCCCTAGGAGTACTAATGCTGGATCAAAGGGTATGCATAGTGTTACAGCCCTTTGGGCACGTTTCCAGATTATACTCTAGAATGGTTAAACAAACTACTCCACCAAGAGTTCGTTAATGTACCTACTTTCTCATGCCCTCCATGTCATTTCCTGATAGGTATGAGTTGGTACCTCACAGTTACTTTAATTTGCCTTTCTCTAATCAATAATGATTCAGAGCATTTTTTCATATGATTACAAATAGCTTTGAGATCTTCTGAAAACTGCCTGTTCATACCTTTTGACCACTTATTAACTGGGGAATGGCTTTTATTTTTATAAATTTGACTCAGTTCTCTATTTCAGAGAAACTTTCTGTAATTTTTTTTAATATTACTTCATTGTCTTTGGTACTTTTTCAGCAAAATGTAGTTTCCCCAGTTATCTCTTTAATTAGATCTTTTTTAATTCTTCTCTGAGATCATGATTGTTACCCCTGCCTTTTTTTAACTTTAGCTGAAGCATAATGGAACTATAGGGTTCCAGCCCTTTATTTTAACTTTATGTGTATTTTTCTGCTTCAAGTACGCCTCTTGAACACAACATATTGTTTGGTTCTGGTTTCTAATTCATTCTGCTATCCACTTCCATTTTGTGGGTTAGCTCATCCCATTCACATTCATAGTTCCTCTATTTTCCCCTCCTACATTCAGTATCAATATTAGTTAATTGTCTGTGGTACCTTTTAGCAAAATGTAGTTTATCTGATCATCTCTTTTAATTAGGTCTCTTTTGCTTTGTCTGAGATCATGATTGCTACCATTACCTTTTTTACTTCAGCTGAAGCATAACAGATTCTGATCCAGACCTTTATTTTAATTCTGTATGTATCTTTCTGTTTCAAGTGTATCTCTTGTAAACAACATATTGTTAAATTTTGGTTTTTAATCCATTCTGCTATCCTCTTCCATTTTACAGGTGAATTAATCACATTCACATTCATAGTTATGATTGCTGTGTTTGCCTCCATCTTATTCTCTCCTATTTATCCTTTGCTTTTTTGCCCTCTTCCCTTCTGAAAAGACAATTTTACTTCTGACTACTGTCTCCCTTATTCTATCCCTTCTTTATTACCTGCCTCCCTGTTTCTCTTAAGCCCTTTTCATCCTACTTTCCTGTTGGATAAGATGATTTCTACACCCAGCTGTGTGGGTATATATATTCTGCCTTCCTTGAACCAGTATAGATCAGAGTGATATTCAACTGTTGCCCATTAGCCCCTCCCACCTTATAAAAACTCTTCCTTCCAAGCCTTTGATTCATTTAAAATTTTATTTTCCCCCAATTACATGTAAAAACAATTTTTAACATACGTTTTGAAAAATTTTTGAGTTTCAAATTCTCTCCTTCCCTCTTTTCCCCTCATCGAGAAGGCAAGCAATTTGATATAGGTTATATGGGTATAGTCATGCAAAACCTATTTCCCTATTAGTCATGTTATTGGGGGGTGGGGGGAGCCCAAAAGAACCCTGAGAAAAAGAAAGTAAAACGTATGCTTCAATCTGCATTCAGATTTAATCAGCTGTAAGATTCTTTTGTACAAGATTATTTTCCCAATCCCTCTTTTCCTTCTTTCTTCCCCCAGTGTATCTCTCTTTCTCACCCTTCCATTTTTTTTTAAATCATTTCAACACAATAGACTCATACCCATGATCTCTATCTAAGGAGACTCCTTCTAATTGCTCTAATGATGATAAAGCTCTTAGGGATTGCATATATTATCTTCTTATTTAGGAATATAAACAGTTTAACCTTATTAAGTAAATTATAATTTCTTACTCTTTTTTACCTTTTCATGCTTCTCCTGAGTCTTATGTTTGAATGCCAAAATTTCTATTCAGATTTTCTCTTTTCATCCAGATTGCTAGAAAGTCTTCTATTTCATTAACTATCCATTTTTCCCCTATAGGATTATACTCAGTTTTGAGGGACAGATTAGTCTTGGTTGTAATTCTAGCTCTTCTGCCTCCTGGAATGTCATATTTCAAGCCCTTTGCTATATTAGCACGATAACTACTAAATCTTGTGTGATCCTGGCTGTGGCCACACGGCATTTAAATTCTTTCTGGCTACTTGCCATTTTTTTCTCCTAGATCTAGGCATTCTGAATTCTGGCTAGAATATTCCTGGCAGTTTTCATTTGGGGATCTCTTTCAGGAAGTGACTGGTGGATTATTTCAATTTCTACTTTGCTATCTGGTTCTAAGATATCTGGACAGTTTTTCTTTTTAATTTCTTGAAATATGATTTTTTTTGGTCTTGGCTTTCAAGTAGTCCAAAAATTTTAAATTTATTTCTTTTAAATACATTTTCCAGGTCAGTTGTTTTTCTAATAAGATATTTCAAAATTTCTTTCATTTTTTTTCAGTCTTCTGACTTTGCTTTATTGTTTCCTGATGTCTCATAGAGTCATTAGCTTCCCCTTGACAAATTCTAATTTTTAAACAGTTATTTTCTTAAGTGTGGTTTTGTAATACTTTTACCATTTGGCCAATTCTGATTTTTAAGCAGTTACTTTCTTCAGTACTTTTGTGCCTCTTTCTTATATTAATACATACATATATATATATATATATATATATATATATATATATATATATATATGTATATATATATATTAATTCTCTTAATTCTTTTTGTAATTTTCTTGCATAGTTCTCATTTCTTTTTCTATTTTTATCTTCTATTACTCTTATATGATTTTTAAAAATTTTTT